CCCTACTACTGGTGGCTGACGATGAAGCTCGATGTTGGAAAGTATGTGGCAGATTGTGTAACATGTGCGAGAGTTAAGGCACAACATCAGAAACCATATGGGATTTTAGAACCTTTACCTGTACCCATGGGTAAATGGGAAGACATCACCATGGATTTTATGACTAAGCTGCCCAGAACAAATGACGGTCACGACCTGATTTGGGTGGTCGTTGATCGATTCACTAAGAGTGCACACTTCATAGCAGTCAATGAAAGATGGTCTATGGATAAGCTTGCAAATGCTTACGTGAAGGAGGTAGTAAGACTTCACGGTGTTCCTTTAACGATTGTATCAGACCGTGATAGTCGTTTCACATCAAGGTTTTGGAGGAGTCTACAAGAGGAAATGTATATGAAATTGCGTTTAAGTACAGCCTACCATCCACAAACTAATGGTCAGAGCGAAAGAACGATTCAAACACTAGAAGATATGCTGAGAGAATGTACCCTAGAATTCCAAGGTAACTAGGATGAGCACTTACCCCTGGTAGAGTTTTCCTACAACAATAGTTACCATTCGAGCATCAAGATGACACCTTATCAAGCTTTGTATGGACAGAAGTGTCGTACGCCGTCATGATGGCTTGAGGCTGGAGAAAAAGCAGTTTATGGGCCCCAAGATAGTCCATCAGATTGCTGAGAAGTTAAAGGTGATCAGGGAAAGGATGTTAGCAGCTCATGATCGTCAGAAGAGCTATGATGATAAGAAGAGACGACCGATGACGTTCGAAGTTGGGGATTCAGTTTTGCTCAAAGTCTTATCGTGGAAGGGACTTATAAGATTTGGCAAATGAGGAAAGTTGAGTCCAAGGTTTATTGGATCGTTCAAAGTTCTTCGAAGGATTGGGAACCAAGCTTACAAGCTCGAATTACCCGAAGAATTAGATGGTATTCATAACACATTCCATGTGTGTTATTTGAGGAAGTTCACAGGAGAAGTTCCCAACATAATTCCAATTTCAGAGTTAAGGATGGATGAGAATAAGAGGCTAACAGAAGAGCCCGAGGTAATTGTTGACGTAAGACGAGGAAGTTGCGACGCAAGATGGTCGACTTAGTGCTTGTGCGATGGAAACATTCGAATGGACCAAATCTCACCTGGGAAACGGAGAGTGACATGATGAGTCGCTATCCGCATCTGTTTGCTGATGCATGATTCCGGGACGGAATCATCCTAAAGGGGAGAGAATTGTAACGCCTGTGTTTTGAGGCTAAGCATTGATGCGATGATGTAATAGTCGAGGTCAACCATTGTAACCTATTTTAAAGTAATAAAGATGAATTATTTGAATATTATGTGAATTATGTGCTTTTATGTGATTATATACTTGTTTATAAAGATATAATAAAATAAGCGTCAAAAATAAAATGTTAGACAAGCCTGATATCGATGAAGAAAGTTGTAGTGGTCGTGACAAGGATTCCGGAGATATCAAGAACGCCGAAGTCCGAGTTATAACGAAGAAGTTATGACCTGTCGAAGTTTCGCGAAAAAACCGGCACGACGCTGTGTGACGTAAAAAGTGAGTTTACGATAAAGTGCTTTTTAGCCTTAGCGATCTAAACGAAAGTCATAGTATACGTTAAACCGAGAGCGCGCATAAAAAGAAGGTCCAAATCTGACTTCGTATGAGGAAGTTATGATTTTTCTAAGATTTAGCATAGCAGTGCACAACCCGGAATTCGAATTTTAGATCGATCGATTTTTGGCCGACACAAGCTAAATGAGAATTGAATATCTTATTAATAGGAGCTCAACGAAAAAAGACAGATGAAAACGGAGTCCGTATGTAGAAGTTATGAATTCTACACGGTCGTTTAACAGTGTAATCTTCTCATACTATTAAATTTAAAATCGGTCGAGAACTAGCCGATGGGATCAAAAGAAAAGTTGTAGAACTTGTCATTACCTACGCGTGGATATAAAGAACGTCGAAAACGGAGCTCGTATGCGAAAGTTATGGGGTTTAGAAGTCGGCAGGGTGCTGCAGTGAAGTGGGTGACGTGGCACAATCTGATGACGAAACGTGGCACCAAATCGACGAGTTGGACCAGCAACGCGACGAGTTGGGGGTCAGAAACTTGACGATTTAGGCCAGAAACTCGACGAGTTCACCCCTTTTTCAGCCTATAAATACCCCCGAGAGTTCCTTCATTTTTCATACCAAAACCCACTTATTCTTCTCTCTACTCACTCTCTAAACCTCCCAAAACACCCCAAGAAGCCTCGGAATCCTTTCTAGCTCTAGAAGGAAGCCTCGGAGAGCCCGGAGTCTCCAAGAAAAAGAGTTTTCGGTTCGAAACTATGCACGTGTAGAGCCCGGTTTTCAAGCAAACTTCCCGGTTTCGTCAAAGGAAATCATATTTTTAAGGAGTGAAGTGTTGTTCAAGTTATCACCACCATATCAGGTGAGTGCATAGTCACTTTCATCTTACACATAGATATGAAGTATTTTATATAAATTACATGCTATGTGTGTATATATATATATATATATATATATATATATATATATATATATATATTACCTGTTTACCTGAGATGTATGCTGGATGAAGATCTATACTTCTTTCTTTTCAGATCTAAACTTTATCTTTCAGATCTAAACTTTTTCTCTTGGATCTGAAACTTTTCCCTTCAGATCTAAACTTCTCACTTCAGATCTAAACTTTTTAGACCTAAACTATATATATGTATTTTGTACTTGAGATCTGTGCTGGATGAAATATCTAAACTTCTTTCTTTCCAGATCTGAACTTTTCTTCAGATCTAGACTGTATATGTATTTTATGCTTTAAAAGTTATGATGGATGAAAGATTTAAACTTTGTTTTTCAGATCTAGACCTTTTCTTCAGATCTGAACCGTATATGTGTTTTCTTTACTGATCTAAACTACTTTTTCAGATCTGAACTGTATATGTATTTTATATCTACAAATATGTTGGGTAAAACATGGGTAGATGAAATAGTTGGTGTGTGATGAAAGATGAGTTAGAGGATGAGATAAAAGGTAATATAGATTATGAGATGAGGGTGAGAGGTGAAAAATGAGAGGAACCTTTACCCAAACGATGGCCCCGTCATCTAGCAGAGTACGGATGACAACCACGGACTATTCTAGACAGTCTGTGGAACACTAGCAGGCTCGCTACCTGTAGGTGTTGTGAACGATATGTTCACCCGGTGTACTCTAAAAACCCATTGGCATGTATTGCAGGTGGACTCCCGCAAATAATACTGTCGATAAATGAGAGCTATGGACTTAGCACCCGTTGGATGAACCCTGGCAGCTATGGACTTAGTGTCTGTTGTATAAACCTTGGCGACGATGGACTTCGTGCCTATTCCTTAGGAAAACCCTTAGGAATGAGTGATAGATGATTCTTAGGGTAGATCCCTAGGAATTAAAGAAGTTAATGGGGATGGGTAATTGGGTTAATTGTTTGATGATAAAACATAATAACTTTATTATTGTGGGTTGAAAACCCTATGTACTCACCAGGTTTCCCAACCTGACCCACTCAGTTTATTTGTATCACAGGTGTCGGTATAAAGCTACACTACAATGAGGGATTAAAGAGATGTAGATCACTAGTGTAAATGAATGTAAGTTCTGTTTATGGTTATGTTTCTGTATTGACGTTGATATCCCAAGGTTTCAAAAAGAATAAAATACATTTCTTCGGAAATGCTTTGATAACATATTTATCATGTTTTTCTGGGAACAAAATTTCGCAACACTTTTCTTAAGAAGTTACTCTGATTTTTATTAAAAAACATAAACTAAATCGGTTTTTTCTGGCCGTAAAAATGACATTTTATAGGCAGTTTCCTTATACCCCCCCCCCCCCGGCCGTATAGACCGGCTTTGTGAATGAGGCGTACTAGCGGTTCGACTGACTTGTCTTATACGTAAAGTAAATATTTAAACCTTTAATATTACATATAGTATAAGGGTGTATTTTAAACATTTCAAAATACTAGGGCTTTAAATCCATTCAAAATTTCGAAAATTAAAACAATTTTAATTTAAATTTTAAAATTTAAAAACTATGATTTGATAATTATCCTTTAATTAAACCTTTAATTAAATTATTAAATCAATTAAGAATTATCTATTAAACAAATAATTTAACTTAATCCCTATCCTCAAAATTTCGAAAAACACAAAGGTCATATTTAAAATTTCAAAATTAATATTCAATTAATTAAATAAAAAATACAACCAATTATCAATTTTAGATAAGGATATCCAATTAAAATTTTAAAATATTCAAATTTACACAATTAAACAATATTATAAAAGGTAATTATCCTAATCAATTTAAAAGATAAATGAAAATCGAAATTTTAGGATCTAACATCTCAACACGCCGTGGTGAGCAGTCAGCACGTCGTGTTGGGTCGAATCTGTAGGCCAACATGTCGTGTAGCAAGAACTGTACGGCATGTTGGATGAACAGAAAGCAGTAAAATGATCATTGGTTGGTTAAAGTGGTTTTTAAGTTTATTCTAATTATAAAGCTTCTGTTGCCGTTATTAGCGTTTTTGGAAAAATGATTTTGAATAAAACCCAACATTATGTTGTATTGTGACAACCAAACAGCACCTACGAAAATTGCAAATAATCTCGTTCAACATGATAGAACAAAACATTTAGAAGTTGACCGCCATTTTATTAAAGATCATCTCAAAAAAAGTACTATTAGCCTTCCTTTGGTTGCCTTAGAAGATATGTTAACAAAGGTTGTATGTAGAAGAATTTTTCAAAGCTCTCTTGACAAACCTAAAATGATAGACATTCATTCTCCACATTGTGGGGGAGTGTTGACGAAAGCTTATTTTGGGACATGATTTGATCCCTTATGTATTTTCCCCCTTTCCTTGTTTACAGGTGGAATTAGCTATATGTTTGTTGTATTTGTGTATAAATTGTACCATCCTCCAGAGATTTAGATAATTGAAAAACCTTTGCATATTGAATCCTCTCTTCTACATTGATGACATAGATTGCTAATTAAAAAATATAATCACATGGTGTTGTACAATCCCACTAGCTACGATGTAGGGTTAGCACTTACTTACTACAACCAACATATTACAAGACTTGAGAATATACTCTCTACGTTATTAACCAAACCAAACCAAACCAAACTTCCATCTACAAATGCTGTTAACAGGAAAATTACGTCATAAAATAACCATCTGTAATATTTAAGAAGATGCCAAAGCTTCACCGCCACCAACTACAATGGTGCTCCGATTCTTCTTAGTTGACTTACTTAATTGGAACACAGGGTGTCTACATAATCTCCTCACTCCTTTTCTCAAACTTAACCTCTCCAATATCCCCTCCACCACCACCACCTCCTCTCCCTCCTGTTTTGATTCATGATTATTACTACCGACTGCTAATTTATGATTTGGCGACCTCTCCCCAGATATGAATTCGCATCCTACAACTGATCCACTCTTTCTTGGGAAGCTCCAAAAAGTTTCTTCCTTTTCATTTCCTATTCTGTTGGCAGGAGGAGAGGACATCACTTCAAACTCACCATATGTTTCTTCTCTTCCACGTAGAGTTTTGATCACAAGCGTTTTCAGAAAGTTCATCACTTGAACTGCATGAATCAATGCTGTCAAAGGATCCGCCATCTGCATCCACACCACACCACACCACCACCAAAGGCTTTTAATTTTACAGATTCTTTAATTTATAGTATATAAATGCAATAACCATATGTATTATATTTAACTGAAGGTGTAGAATAGCAATGGACCTGAGTCATGTTGGGAGCAAACACCATAGCAATGTTCCGGGCATTCATCTTGTTTTCTGGTTCATACTTGGCAACATCTGCCATTAAGTTAATGGCCCAGTCAACAAGTGCAGCCTCAGTTTGAGGAAGGGATTTGACAAGCCGAGTACACTCCTGTTCCGTGCTACATTGCATCACTTGGTCTGGGGTCAAAGAATCAAGAACACCCCTAGGAAGTTCTCTAAACCATGCCTGCGCGCACTTCCAATCATTATATATATATATATATATATATATATATATATATATATATATATATATATATATATATTGTTTTGCAACAAGTTGGTAAATAAATTACAGTAATTAATATCATGGTTGTAGGCTGTAGCCTACCTTAATCAAGCCAGCCAAACAATGAACATCTATTCCATGAGGGATAAACCCTCTGTTAAGTTGCTTCCTAACCTCCTCCTCTTGACCGTTTTCTGCATTTATTCGAAATATCCCTTCTGCCTTCAACCATAAAATCAGTTAACATGATATCAGAAAACTTAACCGAATGACTCTAAATTGTTCAAGAGACAAATTGGGCTTTTACTTGAAGGCCGCCTCCTTCATATAAACTCTTCTGCATCATTAGAAGTATAGTCGGAACACTGTTTCCTCTCTCATCATATGAACACTGCATTGACTCTGCAGATACTCCAAACACGTGCACACTGTTTCAAGTGGGATTGAGTTTAACACTAGAGATAATATGCCACTTGGGATCAACTGTAAAGATTGTTCTCTCAATTTAAAATAATTATTCTCTTGAGATAAGCAACAATCATTCCAAACTGTAAAACCTTTCTTTTCTTACTTTGCAAGTATTAACAAGGGATAGAAAAAGCAAAAAACCATAAAAACTTTTCATCCCCTGTTCCAACTGTAAAGCCTTTTTTTTTCTTACTTTGCAAGTACTAACAAGTGATAGAAAAAGCAAAAACCATCAAAACTTTTCATCCCCTATTCAAGCTTCATCAATAACAATAAAAGATTACATAAATGGCAGAATCATAAATTTTCATTATCTCTTTATCAATAGTAAAACCGAGCTTTTTTTTTTTTTTTTTCTTTCTAAAATGGCAACTCACTTGACACACTCTAAACCCAGCTGTATCTCTCACCCTTAAATTTCCATCCAATGAATTCACTCAACCACTCCCTCACTTCCCCACCAAATTCACACTTGGTTTTCTTTAGTCCACAGACAGCTATATCCCATTAAATTAATATTTTCAAAGAGAAAACCCCAATCCGATAAACAAATCATCACTGCAATACCCAGATCCAGAAAGATTTACTTGAATGGGTAATGTATACAATAAGAAGAATGTGAGGCGGTGGGTACCTTGCGCTGGGAGGCTTGCGGGGAATGTCAGGTTGAAGCTCATCAGGCAATCCGAGGAAGCCATTGAAACGATCAAATGTGACATGAGAAAGATGCTGGACGTCGGTGGGGCAGCCAATATCCAAGGAGGAGGTGGAGGAGGAAGCATCATCAGAGTCGTCGACAGTGCAGGTGACGAGAGACTTGCGAAGCGCGGTCAACAGAAGGGCTAGAATGGTAAAATTTGTAGATTGGCCCTGATCCTGGTGTTGGTCGGGGCCGATGAAGGGGGTAGTAATTGGATTGTTGTGGCAGTGGGAATAATCTTCATAGAAATAGTCAACGTCGTTTTCATCCTCTTGTTCTTCCAATTGCTCATCAAAATTTTGATTAGGAAAAGATGCTTGGAACCTTGGTCTGGTTGCTCGGCCGCATGATTTGGATCTAAAAATCCTCGTCATTTGTCTTCCTTATTTCTTTCTTTTGGTGAGGGTAAATATATTCACAACACTCAAAAAAATAAAGATTGAGAATTTTGGAGTAAATGCAAGCAGGAAAGAAGAAATGAGTCGTATATATGAACATGAGAAGGATTTATATGGTAAATATACGATTGAATGAATGAAGGAGAGGTGGTGGTGTTATAGATATGGTGATATGGAAAGTGACAACAAGATTTTTTTTTATTTTTCTTTTATTTTAAATATATGCAGAGTATGTGACTTGTGAGGGAGGGTGACTGGGTGAGGACGAAAACGAAACCAAGATTTAACTTGTTTTTTTCTTTTGGTTTGATTTGTTATATTTTTTAACAGATTTGGGGGAAATCCATGAAAAAGGTAGTAGACCCGTGAGTGGGAAGAAGGAGGGGGACAATACGGAAGTCTAGTATTTACGGAAAATGACTAATCAAGATAATTAACTTTTCGGTATGTTTACATCTGGGTAACTATCTTTTTTCTTTGTACACATCTAGATAACAAACTTGTTAGAAATGTTCACATATAACCATTATGACCTGCTGTAGCAGGTAACATCCTAGATGTGAACACTTTTGACAAATTCGTTACCTAGATGTGTACAAAAAAATAGTTACCCAAATATTAACAAAACGAAAAGTAAGAGTAAATTACACGAATGGTCCCTGTGGTTTGGGGGAATTTGTGTTTTTGGTCCCTAACTTATTTTTCTAACTCGGATGGTCACTACTGTTTATTTTTGTTGCGCGTTTGGTCCCTGTCTTACCTAAAAAGACTATTGTGCCCTTATTAATTTACTTTTAATTAATTTTTGTATTTATGTATTTATTTTTTATATATTTAAAAAAATTAATAGACCCCACATATCTGTATCTCCTCGGATGATCCCTACTGTTTATATTTTAATTAATTTATTTTTTTTAACTCGGATGATCCCTACTGTTTATTTTTGTTATGCGTTTGGTCTCTGTCTTACCTAAAAAGACTATTGGGCCCTTATTAATTATTATTTTTTAATTAATTTTCTTATTTATGTATTTATTCTTTATATATTTAAAAAAATTAATAGACCCTACATATTTGTATCTCCTCACCATCACATCTCTCATCCTCCCCAACTTCTATTTATTTTCCATCTTTAGTGATATCAACGTCTTCACAATCCCTTCTTTTTTCGGTCCTTCAACTCCGTCGAATTAACACCACAACCCAGTGAACCCACTAAAGATGAAGAGACAGTGGGTTATGGTGTTGGTTCGCCAGAGTTGAAGGACCAAAAAAAGAAGCATGGTGAAGACGTCGATGTCACTAAAGATGGAAAAGAAATAAAATTTGAAGAGGATGAGAGATAGGATGGTGACCGGTGAGACCCAAATTAAATTTCTCAAATGTGGTTTCTGGTTTACGATGAGGAGATACAGATATGTGGGGTCTATTAATTTTTTTAAATATATAAAAAATAAATACATAAATAAGAAAATTAATTAAAAAATAAATTAGTAAGGGCACAATAGTCTTTTTAGGTAAACAGGGACCAAACGCGCAACAAAAATAAATAGTAGGGGCCATCCGAGTTAAAAAAAATAAGTTAGATACCAAAAAACACAAATTCCTCCAAACCATAGGGACCATTCGTGTAATTTACTCTTACTTTTCGTTTTGTTCAGATTTGGGTAACTACTTTTTTTGTACACATCTAGGTAACAAACTTGTTGAAAGTGTTCACATCTAGGATGTAACCTGCTACAGCAGGTCATAATGGTTATATGTGAACACTTCCAACAAGTTTGTTACCTAGATGTGTAAAAAAAAAGATAGTTACCCAGATGTGAACATACCGAAAAGTTAATTACCTTGATAAGTCATTTTCCCCTAGTATTTAAAAGTAAGGAAGTTGTGTGTCATATTAATATAAGGCCCCCACAATTTCACAAAATGATAATAACAATCAGCTTGGTTTTGTCTCTCTTTATATTATGTATTTTTTTAAAACCAAATTAATCTATTTTTAATTACCATTTATATCCCAAATGAAACTAAAATTTATGACATTTTAATTAAGATGGTCGCTGTTTACCGCTAAGGCAAAAGCCTTTTTATTATATTATGCATTTAGGGCGTGTTCGGAAAAATTAGCTGGTAGCGGGTAGCTTGTAGTTTGTAGCGTTTTGTTAAATACTACATGAAGTAGCATTTGGATTTGGAGCGTTTTGTTTAAACTAAACGCTAGAAGCTTGTAGTGCCGAACGGAGCTTTCTGTTCAAAATGGAGCGTTTTGTCAAACGCTAGAAGCTAGAAGCTCTCAAACGCTCCCAAACGCTCCGTGCTGAACACGCCCTTAAGCTGCCATCTTGCATAACGATTTTTAAAGAGGGATAATGATTTATAAGCTAATGAAATTTTGATTTTGTGTTCAAAAAATAATATAAAGGTTATATACATTCTAAGCGACTAAATATAAACTAAAAGTATAATTTTGTTATTTCATTTGATTGCTTAATTGCTTTTGATTCACATAAGAATAAGATTAATAATAGACTTACGAAATACTTTTTACAAGTTTGGTCCCTGTGGTATGTCAAAAATTAGATGTTTGGTCCAAAAAGTTTTGGGGTTGCACAGGTGGTCCAAAAGGTTTGATTTGTTGTGGAATTGGTCCAAAGGCTTAACAATCATTTGTGCCCTCCGTTTGTGTGAGGGTATTTCTGTCAATTCACACCCATTCTTTTAATATCTTATTAAATTAAACCCCCTAACGTCTACTTCCCTTATTAATAGATCCAATGTGTGTTCCCCATTTTCCCTAAATCGATATCTCCTCCTGCTAAAATCGAAATCGATATCTCCTCCTGTAAGTAACTTTGTCTCACCCATGTATGCGAAGTTGTAATGCTGTAAGATGTTAACGAGGATAGAGATGATGGAAAGTGAACAGAAGATTATGGAGTAAGTTCTTATTCGGGAATTCATCTCTTCGTGATTTAGTACAAAAAAAGCTGAAATCATTTTCCCTACTGTTAACGCGTACACCGGTTGCACAGCGCCAAACATCGTCGCTGCTAAGCTCCCAATCACCGCTTGTTTCCATTCCGACGAGTTTAGAGCAAGGAGTTGGGAGAACGAAGGTGGTGGGTGATTTGATGATGATAGTGATTGTGGATCGTTGAAAGGCATCGGTGAATCGAACATTGTTGGGCTCGATTTTGCGTGCTTAACCTCAAAGCGCCCCTCTTTCACCGACCTTCATTTCATATCTTTCCGGAAGCTGTCGGATGAAATTATGTGCATTGGAAGTCGTTGCAGCGGCGATTACTTCCTCCATTGTTGCATCGATCTTCCCAAACATAATGTTTTCTCGAATCGACGTTCCAAATAGCGCGTGGTCTTGACTTACGAGTCCCATTTGTGCTCACAACCATTTCAACTGTAGTTTTTTTACATCGATCTTCCCAAACACGAATAATGTTTTCTCCTTTCCCTTCCTCTTCTTCGGCCTAATTCGAATGTCGGCGGCCATCACCTATTGCGAATCAATCGACGAAAAATCAGAAGCCATCAGGCTCTCTTCCTTCAGCCAGAAGAACGATCGAACCTTCGTTGACTTCGTGCGCCTTCTTCTTGACTGCCTTCGGTTCATTCTCGTTCCAATCTCCTCTTCCTCCAAATTGATTATGCCTTCGTTCTTCCCTTCATGTTCTGTATTCGTTTCCTTTGCGTTCCCATTGACGATCGATCAAATGACGAACAAAAAAAAATCCCTTGACCCCTTTCTAATCGGGTTTCCTATTTTGACCAGTCAAAAGTCAAAGTGGAATCAAACTTGAATTTAATTTATTCAAAAGTTACCCTTATTTGACAAATACTTTACAAGATCAATCATTTTGGACAGAAATACCCTCACACAAACGGAGGGTACAATAGGCTGTTAAGCCTTTGGACCAATTTCACACCAAATCAAACCTTTTGGACCACCGGTGCAACCCCAAATTTTTTTGGACCAAACATCCAATTTTTTACATACCACAGGGACCAAACTTGCAATTTTATCTTTCACAAACAATAATAACAAGTGGATTTGAACACCAAACATTTGCACCAACATTTAATTGAGACACAAAGTTCTAAGAGATAAAAAATGTTCTTAAACTTTTGAGATTTTAACAAATGACCGATATTTGATGTTCTAAGAAAGAAAAATATTGTAGTTAAACTTTTGTTTACTCAAATGTTTGTGCACGTGTTTATTTTCCTTTCCATTGACATTGACACGTTTGTGAAAGTTTGAAAAAAAAAATTAAAGTTTCAAGTAAATATAATGTTTGAATGATAATGAGAATAATTTTATTTATTATAATTACAGGTAAGTCACAATTTAATGTTTAATTATTTTTTATTAAGATAAGAAAGAGATGTAAAAGTATATTTACAAAATTAAAATATTATAAAAATGAATATTTCACAAATCAATATATTTTTTAATAAAATTAAAATAAAAGATTAAGAATAGATAATGAATTATGAGGTAATAAAAAAAGTTTACTTTTGTTCAGATTTAGTTAGTTTCCTTATTTTGTATATAATTTAGCAACGAATTTATTTTTGATGTTCAAAAATACCTTATGATCTGTAATAACCGGTTGTAATGATATTTTTTTCAACACTAAAAATAAGTTAACTAATAAATAGTAAAAAAATGACTAAATTATGAAAAAAGTTGAAAGTTTATTTATTTATTTTAAACGACAAACTAACTTACTCTTAATTACCCCATATATCTCCTAAGGATAATACCCTTACAAGTCGTTATCCCTTTTAAATATAATTAGGGGTAATACCCTTGGCATATTGTTGGAAAATTTTCCAATCAATTTTTATAGGAGAAGTGGGGTGTTGGTTTATAAAAAAAACGTTTGTAAAAAAACAATGCAAAAGAATTTTGTTAAATTCATAAAAAAAAAAAATTAAAATAAGATGTAAAAGAAGTTATTCAATTAAAAAAACTAATTTTAAATAACATAAAAATCTATAATAAAAAAAAAGTAGGGGAAAACTTGTAAACAGTTTTTAAAGAATTCGTAAAAAAATCGCATTGTTAGAAAAAATGTAACTATAGTTTTAAAAATATCACTACATAAGTTGTAAAAATATTTTTTTAAAGAACAAATTACTGAAATTGTCCCTGTGGTTTGGTCAAAATTGCGTGTTTGGTCCCTAACTTTTTTTTTGCACTCGGACCGTTCTTGTAATATGATTTGGTTACGTTTTCGTCCCTAACACATTTAAAAAGACTATATTACCCTTTGTTTTTTTATTTTTAAGTTTTTTTTATTATTTATATTATTAAAAAAACTAATAAAACATGTGGGGCCCACTAAACTCTTTCATCTCCTCTAAGTTCCTACCCTAGACCCGTCATTCCCTTTCACTGAAAATCATCCCTCGTTCCTCTCCATAACCGGAGCTTTCGCCGGAACCCTAGATCTACACCACCGCTGCCATCATCTCGGATACATCAAACGCGGGATGCACCTCCGTTTTTCGAACCTAAATCACTCAACCATCATCGCATTGGCGAGTGTTTCGTTCCACTGTCACAGGTGGAGCACTATGTCGAAGAGCTAGCTGCCGCCCGCCAGAATCCACTAAAAACCCATGGACCACCATCTACTTCTCATCTCTCTCTTCACTCCTCTTTCTCTACTCCGGATCCTCAAAGATCATTGGATTCCCCTGAAAGACCATCACCTCTCCTTCTTCTGCCCCTCTCCTTGATAATCTGGAACCGTAGCCGAGACCATCACCTTCGTTTGATTTTCCCACCGACGTTTAGTTTCAGATCTCTTATCGAACATTGATGTGTGGAGATGAAGATAAGTTTTACCAACCTCATTTTTCTTTTCTTGATGGTGACTGAGTGTTTCAAGATTTCATCAAGTTTGGTGCCTGATGAAGATAATTTTTACCAGAACCATGCTTCTCATCATCAGTTTCCATGTTTGATTTTGATTCAAGTTTGATTTTGTAGTTTGTACCAAGATACAAACCCCCATTTTATGTTTAATTTTGAGATTTGATTACAAGTTTGGTTTTATCTTATTTTGGTTTGGTTCTGAGCTTTGAATTTAGCTTTGAATTTAGTTTTGATCTGTGGTTTCGGTTTAGTGTTAATTGTAGGCTTTGATTATGTATACATTGATTCCTGATTTTGTTTGGTTTTGATTTTGTAAAGAGTAGTGGGTGTGGTAGACTGGTAGTTGTTCTGGTGCTTGATTTTGGTTTAATTTCTTTTGATTTTGTGTAAATTGTGGTGGTTGTCGGAGATGAACCATGTTAGAAAGTAGGTGCTGCCGGAATGGTTGTCGGAGGTGGATGGTGGCGGTGGATGGGAAGGGAGACCGAGGGGGGGTGGAGTAGGTGGACCCACTTATTTATAAATTACTTATAATTCATTTATTTTAATTAATCAATAAAAATAAGTAACAAAAAACTGAAAAAGAAAATACAAAGGGCAATATAGTCTTTTTATCTTTACAAAAGACAAAAAAACGCAAAAACATGATATGTTAGGGACGAAAAACGCAAGAATATGATATGTTAGGGATGGTCCGAGTGCAAAAAAAAAGTTAGGGGCCAAACACGCAATTTTGACCAAACCACAGGGACGATTTCAGTAATTTGTTCTTTTTTAAAAAAAATCAAGTCATAAGAAGTTGGGGCAAATTATAAAAAAAAAGTTTGTATCAAATAAGTAAAACAAACTGAAAGTTGGATAGAAATTATAACAAAAGGAAAGTTGTGAGGGAAGTATAAAAAAAGTTTGTAACAAATTTGTAAAAAAAGTTTGAAAATTGGGAAGATCTTGTAAAAAGTAAAATTTATAGAAAATATCAATGGTAGAGGGTAGAGATGTTATTCGGTTCGAAACCGGGCTGAAACTGAACCGCATAAACCATATACTATGTAACACCCAAAACTTGTAACGCCCCAAAACTATTCCATATAAAAAATTTTGTTTTAAGTCTATCAAAATCATCATTCATTCATTCGAAAACCCACCAAAGTGTGAAAATGTATAAAATAGTTATCAGAGTACAAATCATATCATAAAATGCGGAACACTGATGGATGCAGTGCAATCACGTCACAAGGCAACTCCCCAAAATATAAAGATATAAGCACAAAGCTTAGTGAGTTCCCCAAAATATTACATACCATACATACAATTGTCATGCCTACCCACAAGGTCTTACAATCCAAGTGACATGGGCTACTGTAACGCCCAGATCCCTGGTATGTATTATTTATTTATTTGCACATTTTTACAAGGCAACTCGACGAGTTGGTAGCCCCAAACTCGTCGAGTAGAGATCGAGAGGGACGCGGGTTTTGATGTCTACTCGCCGAGTTGGGAAGCCCCGACTCTACGAGTAGGACTGCCAGAAGGAAACCTTAATTTTAAGGGTTTGTCCCCCTATTTAAAGAACATAACACCCCTTGTGGCCTCCCTCATCGTCCTCCATTATCCAGAAAACCCTAATCAGTGAGCTTGAGCTTTGTGTGAGTGTGTGAACCATTTTTGAGTGATTTGGTGTGATTTGAAGCTTGTGAGAAGAAGAAGAAGCTAAAGGACTCCAAGAGAAGGTTGTAGATCCAGGAGAAAAATCACTTTTTCTTCACTTTCTGGTAATCAAGTCTATACCTTGACCATTTGTTTTCTAGATCTTCTTATGGGGTAGTTTAGGGCTTTTTAGAGTGCATTTTGGAACCATTCATGGATGCAAGCGTGATTTGGTGCATCAACTGCAGATCTAGAGTCTTTGAGGGACTCCATGGCATAAAGGTGCCAACTTTATGGCCATGGGAGTCCCATGCACCTTATGAGACACATTTTTTGGACATTATAAGCTAAAACCCCATGTATGCACGTAAAGTTGTAAACTTTACGTGACATAAGGACCTTAGGGGTCCAGATCTATGTTTTGGAGACAATAAACCCAAATGAAATCAACTGAATAGATTAAGATCATGGGGGACTCGACGAGTTGTTCATGCAACTCAGCGAGTCGAGTCGTGGTCCCCCAACTCTTCTGTTAATGAGTGAACTCGTTGAGTCTAGGAGATGACTCAGTGAGCTGGACATACTTTTGGACTTGGGATTTGAAGAACTCGACGAGTCCAAGGAGGGACTC